CTGCACTCTTTCTAGAGTCTCAACACCTTTTTTGCATCGTGGTGACTAAAACTGGATGCCGCATTCCAAGCATGGCCTTACCAAGGTAATATAGAGCGGTACCATCACTTCGGAGTCACATTTACCTCAGCGCGAAGTACTACCTATTTACTTCAGAGTAGGCCTTACCCAATTCAGCGCGGCCAAAGAGGCTCGCAGAAGTTGCACGGCGGAAGTGCAACGTGGTGTCTAATTTCGATCTATGCCTCCTCACCCCGAATTTAAAGTCTCCAAAGTGCCACCTCAGTGAATAAATTAGCTCCTCCGTCAGCCGAAAGGCAATAAAACTGAAAGGAAGGAACATCGTGTACCCAATAACAAAAATTAAAAATCAAGACGAGCGATCTTTTCCGAGAAGGACGGTTTTGAAGGTCTTAAATAATAATAATAAGTAAAAAACGCCTCAAAAACCCAGCGAAATGGCCTTGTGAGGCTTTTCCAAATAAACTTTTTAAAACCCTGCTGCTGAACTCAAGGAGTGGCAAGCGCCAAAGCCGTGGATTTCACCCCAACTTATGGCCACAAGGGAGCCCCAGATTTTCGCTGCTAAGAGGAACAATTTTTTTCCAGCAAATTTTGCCCCTTTTTACTACCTCAGATGTTAAGTGAATCACTACAGTTAGTAAGTTAGTAACCGGGTTGTTAAACGAATATGGTTTCCCCTCCTTGACTTTGCTTGTCAGAAGGTCGTAAAAGTGGATCACGTGACCCCCTCCCGGGACGCTGCGTCTGTCATAAATACGGGTCAGTTGCCGAGCGTCTGAATTTTGATTAGGTGGCCAGCCGTAGGGATGCTGGAACAGTCATAACTGTGAAAAACGGTTGTAAGTCACTTTTTTTCAGCGCCATTGTAAGTTCGGTCACTAAATGAACTGTCATTAAATCAAGGACCGTGGCTACAAAGCTATGGATTTTCCCCTACAAAAAAAAACATTGCCATCTCCTAGTTAATCTTCCTAGCTTTGTGTGACTACCGTACCTTTGGAGTTAAATCTATATTTTCCCCCGCTTTTGCTGTCTCTCTCTCTCTCTCTCTCTCGTCGTTCTTTAAGGCTTGCCAAATAAACGCACGCTGCCAAATCAAACAGAAACGGTTCAAGCCAGAGTATTTCCTGCCCTGGCAGCAGAAATCAAATCGCAGTTTGTTTTTTTCCATTTTCAGGAAAAAGTGTTAGAAGGGGCAGAAATGGGACCTTTGGCTGAAGGGATACATCCGTGTGTAGGTATGTTTTGTGGCAGATCCGGGTTGTACGCCCTGGCTAGATCCTGTCAAGCGCCAGAGAGACGAGATGGATCGTCAGGGCAATCCAATTTTAGCTGATTGGATCGAGGTGGCATCTTGAAAAGCTTTTGAAAAACAGAAGCTTTTCAGACAAAAGACAGACATCCTCCTGGCCATGTTATAGTCCTGTCTCCCAGGACAGGAAAGGCCAAATGAGCATCTGTTTGCAAGGTCCAAAAGTCATTTCAAATGTCTGCCTGGCTTCTGAGAGGCCGTGCTCGAAGGAGGCCACTTGGATGAGGAGATAAAACGGCAAATCAACGGCCGTGGGTTTCCCGAAACGTCGAGAGAAAAATGACTCTCGGCGAACCTTGTGGAAATACCAAAGAACGCCCGTGGGAACTTAGTTCTGCAAAAGGAAATTGATCCGGAAGCAAAATCGATCCTTCTTCTTCCCTTCCGCAATGATGATCTTGTTCTGTTGGGCTATGAGTGATCCACAACGTGAAGTCTTATGCAGAATACAAAATGCAGTTCAAACCCCTCTCTCTTCTAGCACTGATGATGTTGCCTAGTTGGGTCATGAAATGTCTGCAAGAAAACCACCAAGCTCAGAGGGCACCAAGGACCCCATGGTTGCTGCTGCTCCTCCTCCTCCTTCTCCTCCATCTCCATTCTTCTTCCATTCTCTTCCTTCTCTTCCTCCTCCTCCTCTCCACAAACTCAACCCTCTTCTAGCACAGATGATGTTACCTAGTTGGGTAATGAAATGTCTGCAAGAAAACCACCAAGCTCAGAGAGCACCAAGGACCCCACAGTCCTCCTCCTCCTCCTCCTCCTCTTCCTCTTCCTCCTCCATTCTTCTTCCATTCTCCTCCTCCTCCTCTCCACAAACTCAACCCTCTTCTAGCACTGATGATTTTGCCTAGTTGGGTAAGGAAATGTCTGCAAGAAAACCACCAAGCTCAGAGGGAACCAAGGACCCAGTGATTCACTTAACAACCCATGGCAAAAAGGTCGTAAAATCGGGCACCACTCACTTAGCAGTCCCCTTGCTTCGCCACAGAAATTCTGGTCCCAATTATAGTCATGAGCCAGGGACTGTTGTCTTCTCCTCTTGGACAGCTTCCTCTCTAAGTGGCACTAAGAGGTACTGCCCCTGCAGCTGGAAGCTCAATTTCTCCACTGTCTCCTCTGCAGAGTCAGCCTTTGTGAACTGAGGTCTCCCGTCTTTCTGCCAGCTGGACCAGTGGACAGAGCGACAGCCATCATTTGAGGGTTGGTATCATGAAGATCAAGGTGGACAATTCTAAATCACCGAAAAAGCCTCAAACGGTGGCTTTGAAACTTGGCTGAAAGCAAACCCTGGTTAAGACAGCTGGGCCAAAATTTAAAGAATGGGAAACCAAAAGCAGGCGGTGCAAATGTGCTCACTGCACACCTTTGGTTGAGGTGGGAAAACGGATTCTTCCTGTTATCATAATTTCAATGTGCCGTTTGTCTTCTCCTTCTTTTGAGCTGTTTTTATTCCACAAGCAGCTGTTGACAGGAAGGAACCATTTAAATCCAGCTAAGCTACTCCACAAATACTTTGATTATACCATTTGCTGGGTTTTTTGTTTTGTTTCAAACCTGTTGCTTGTATTTTAAAGCGGTGGGATTAAAATTTGCTTAAAACGGACATTTAAACTCAGTGGGGTTTATTTTAGCTTCCTTGCACTAGTTTATGGCGGAGTCAGACAATTTGTTTGGCAGACTGAGAGAGGGCAGGGAAGGGAAGGAAGGAAGGAAGGAGAGAAGAGGAAGGAAGGAGAGAAGAGGAAGGAAGGAAGGAAGGAAGGAAGGAAGGAAGGAAGGAAGGAAGGAAGGAAGGAAGGAGAAGAGAGAGGGATACATGATCTAAGTATAATATACATGATAGTAGCCTTCCAGTATTTGAGGGGCTGCCACAAAGAAGAGGGAATCAAGCTATTCTCCGAAGCATCTAAAGGCAGGACAAGAAGCAATGGATGGAAACTAATCAAGGAGAGAAGCAATCTGGAACTAAGGAGAAATTTCCTGACAGCTAGAACCATTAACCAATGGAACAACCTGCCTCCAGAAGTTGTGGGTGCTCCAACACTGGAGGTTTTCGAGAAGAGACTGGACAGCCACTTGTCTGAGATGGTATAGGGTCTCCTGCTTGAGCAGGGTGGTGGTGGTGGTGGTGGTAGTGGGGTGGACTACTCCAAGGTCCCTTCCAACTCTATTCTGATTGATCAGGGGTGATGTGACGATCAGAATGAGTAATATGGACTCATACGATTCCATTTCAGGTCCTTAAAGGCCAGCCATTAACCCAATCACCTCTCATGCTTATGCTTCAACTAGAGATGGCTCAGTTCTGATTTGTTGAATACATCACAACCGGCCATGTTTACACAACACATTGAGGCGTTAAGTCCAGTTCTCAAGCCATAAGAGAGACAGATTAAGGCTTTGGACAGAGGTGAAGCAGGCCTGTAAAAGGACAAGTTGCTAGGGTGGCTCTCTGGAATGGCCACACATCCGCCAACTGAATGAATTTACTGAATGAACACAACGCGGTGGGTCTACAGGAAGTGCACAGCCATGATTTGCAGGCCCTAGTTTTGAGCTTGCCTAATGTGACAAGGCCAGCAAAAAGCCAACCTGCTTATAGTTTTACTGAGGAGGAGGAGAAGGAGGAGATAGATGAAAAGGAGGAGGAGGAGGAGATAGATGAAAAGGAGGAGAAGGAGAAGGAGAAGAAGGAGAAGGAGGAGGGGGAGGAGGAGAAGGAGGAGGAGAAGGAGAAGAAGATTCTAAATACATTTGTCGAAAACCAGCCAGCCCAGCTTAAATTAGAAAAAAATGTGATTCCTCTACATAGACATCACACTGTTTTTGCACTAGTTTTCTGTCAAATCACCAGCTCCAATGAAATCAGATTTAAAGTCCCCACGCCAGAGACAGGGAGAGACTTCATCCCTTTTAGCACACTATTGCTGTAGGGCAATAACAGACCCCTTCCTTAGCCCTGGATGCAAACAGACTCTCCAGCCAGCACCAGCCAGCACCATGCAGGTGCTTCCCAGATCAAATTCAAGGCAGGGGGGGCTTCTCCCCGCTCTCACCCTGATCCCTCCAGAACCAACTTATATCGCTCTATCTGGGCTCCAAAAATCAAAGCAGGGATTTGGCTCCTGAAAGGCACAACGGCAAAGGGGCTGTTGTTGTTGTCGTCGTCGTCGAAGGAAACCTAGCCCCAAAGGAGAGGAATTTGGAGAGGGCAAAACCTTCCCAGCCACCAGGTCGAATCTCGATTTCCCAAACACCTTCCTAATATAGATTCTCAATTTCTGGTTGGTTTCTTTTTGTTTTTTTCAATGCAACCTCTTTGGACAGACGTGCATTTTGCACCTTTCTACCCAAAGACAAGAAAGGAAAACAAGACGCCAGCAGAGACCTTCTCCGGCAGAGAGAAACCAAACGAGGATGTAAACCCGAGCCAGCCTCATTTGTAACCGTTGCAAGAGACCTCTGCATCAAACGGGAGGGCAGGCAGGCCGCAAAACAGGTACAATTTGCAAGCAGGAGGCGTTGAGAAAGGGATACCTCAAACCTTTGGGGAAGCCCCCCCCCCACTCTAAAAAAAAAAAAGAAAGCTCTGGCTTTGTATCATTTAAAAAAAAGAAAGAAAGAAGATGACGAAGAAATAAGGAGGAAAATGAAAACTTACCAGCTCTACTGAACCGTAGTGTTTCCGACTGAATTCTCCCCGTCTACATCCGAGGTCTTCGGAGACGGAACTGGAATAGAATTGCTTCATTAGTAGACATAGCTAACTGGACCCCTCTAAGCGATTGGAGAGGCAAAGAGGAAAGAGATATATATATATATATATATACAGTATATATATTTTCCCTTCCTCCCCTGTTTTAAGGGGGTTCTCAGTGCCGCCTTGCGGGAACCGGCTTCATCACTGGGGGGGGGGGATTCTCTCCTGAATGGGGAGGAGGTCTCGAAGCCACCACTGGCTTCTTGAATTAAAGGGGGGGGGAAGGGGAAGGGATGGACACGGAAACCAAAGGGCGCTCTGATTGGGAGGGAAGCAGGGGGGGCTACGATTCAATTCAATCTCTAGTCAAGGCAGGCAGATCAGGGCAGAAACGGAGAGACAGACAATGCCTTGCAATTGCATTTGGCCGTTTTCTCTCTCTTTCTGCCTCCCTCCCTCTTTCTTCTCTTTCTCTCCTTCCCTCCCTCTCCGTCTCGCCCGTCTCTCTTCTCTCTCTCCCCGTCTCTCTCTTCTCTTTTTCTTTCTCCCTCTCTTCTTTCTCTCTCCTTCCCTGCCTCCTGCTCTTTCTGCCTGCCTCTTCCCTCTTTCTCTCTCCCTGTCTCTTTCTTTCTTTATTCCCTCCCTCTCCCCGTCTCTCCCTTCTCTCTCTCTACCCCCTCTTCTATCTCTTCTTTCTGTCCTTTTTCTCTCCCTTTTCTTTCTCTCTCTCCTTCCCTGCCTCCCCCTCTCTGCCTGCCTCTCTTCCCTTTTTCTCTCTCCCTGTCCATCTCTTCTTTCTTTATTCCCTCCCTCTCCCCGTCTCTCCCTTTTCTCTCTCTCTCCCCCGTCTCTCTTCTCTTTCTGTTCTTCCTCTCTCCCTCTTCTCTTTCTCTCTCCTTTCCTGCCTCCCCTTCTCTGTCTGCCTCTCTCTCTGTCTCTTCTTTATTCCCCCCTTCTCCCCATCTCTCTCCCTTCTCTCTCTCTCTCTCTCCCCCGCCCTCTCCTCCTCTCTTTTCCCTCTCTCTCTCTCACCAAAAAAGGAAGAGGACTTTAGGTCCTGCAGCATATTTAAAACACGAGAGGGGTGGAGATGGGGATAAAGATCAGGCTGAGAACTTGACCCCAGTCTTCTAAGAAATTAGCCTCCACACAAAGGCTGCAATCAACTTTGGAAAAATGGGGCTTAGGCTACAAACATTTTTCACAGCCAAAAAACCCAGGAAGAGTCAGGTAATATCATCAGTGCTAGAAGGGAGTGGGGTCTGTTGAGTGGAGGAGGAGGAGGAGGAGAAGGAGGAGGAGGATTATTGTGGGGTCCTTGGTGCTCTCTGAGCTTGATGGTTCTCTTGCAGACGTTTCATGACCCAACTAGGTAACATCATCAGTGTTAGAAGTGAGAGGGGCTTGTGGGGAGGAGGAGGAGGAAGACTATGGGGGACCTTGCTTGTCAGAAAGTCACAAAAGGGATCACGTGACTCCAGTGGACACTGCGACCGTCATAAATATGAGTCAGTTGTCAAGCATCTGAATTTTGATCACATGACTATGGGGAGGCTGCAACAGTGTAAAAAACAGTGAAAAAAATCACTTTTTTCACTGCCGTTGCAACTTCGAACAGTCACTACTAATGAATGGCGATAAGTCAAGGATGACCTGTAAGGAAAATAAATCAGTAAATAAGGTGGATCCCACATCTCTGAAGATCCACTCTTCCCCAAGACAAGGAGAACAAACCCGGCACGTGACAAGCATCTTTGGATCAGCTCCGATCATCTCCTTTTGGTGTATATTACGAAATTGGAACAAAAGGGAGAAAGGAGAGAAAAGTTGCACGCTTGGCGCTTTTCAAAGTGAAAACTCCAATAGGGTAGCTTCCCCTTCCTTTATTTTATTTTATTTTATTTTATTTTTATTTTTAAAGGAAACCAACAGTGGTTTCTTCCTCCAATCTCTAGGACTTCTCCGGCTGGTTGCCACAGAAACTAGCCTTGGAATAATTCTTGGTCGGACGGACTTCGTGTTGCGAAGAAGATTGCGAGAGGAATTTTAAGTGAAACCTGGACATCGCAGTCTTCAAATCGTTTGGGGGAAATCTAGACGCTTTGGGGAAGGGGGCTAGGAGTCGTCAATTTGGGGTGGGGGGGCTGGCTTCCTCTCTGTCCGAAAAAGATTCTTTGGGGCAAGTTGAGACCGGAAGAAGAAGTAGACATGGGTTGACAATGAACGGTGACCGAGAAGAAAGTTTTCCCTTTTGAAAACAGGATTCACCGAGAGAGACAAAGAAAGCCACGGTCCTAAAGGATAAACGTTGAGTCTCTGAATGATAACCCGCTCCTGAGCCAGCCGTGTGCTGCAGGTGCCAAAAAAGCCAACACAGTGCTAGGCTGCATTAATAGAGGGATAGAATCAAGATCACGTGAAGTGTTGATACCGCTTTACAAGGCCTTGGTAAGGCCACACCTGGAATACTGCATCCAGTTTTGGTCACCACGATGTAAAAAAGAGGTTGAGACTCTAGAAAGAGTACAGAGAAGAGCAACAAAGATGATTAGGGGACTGGAGGCTAAAACATATAAGGAACGGTTGCTAGAATTGGGTATGTCTAGTTTAACGAAGAGAAGGACAAGGGGGGACATGATAGCAGTATTCCAATATCTCAGGGGCTGCCATAAAGAAGAGGGAATTAAGCTATTTTCCAAAGCACCTGAAGGCAGGACAAGAAGCAACGGGTGGAAACTAATCAAGGAGAGAAGCAACCTAGAACCAAGGAGAAACTTCCTGACAGTTAGAACAATTAACCAGTGGAACAACCTGCCTCCAGAAACGGTGAATGCTCCAACACTGGAAGTTTTTAAGAAGAGACTGGACAGCCATTTGTCTAGAATGTTATAGGGAGGTTAGACTAGGCCCCCAAGATCCCTTCCAACTTTATTATTATTGCTGTTGTTGTTGTTGTTGTTGTTGTTACTCTATCAGGGGAACAAGAGCCATGCTCTCACAAGGTCCCCCATAGGAAAGACGCTCTGGCAGAAAGCTGTTGGTGCTCCAGTTGGAAATGCAGATATTCCCCAAGTTGCAACAGTTTGTTTTAGCGACCGTCCAAAGTTACATCACCAGAAAAAGGGATTTATGACTGTTTTTCACACTTTTGACCATTGCGCCATCCCCATGAAAATTCAGACGCCTGGCAACTGGATCATACGCATGACGGTCGCAGCGCCTCGAGGTCACGTGATCCCCTTTTGCGACCAAAGTTGAGGGGGAAGCCCGATTCATTGACCAGCCACATTACTCACTTAAGAACTGTGCAGCGATTCACTTAACGACGATAGCAAAGAAAGTCGTAAAACAGAACTCAGGCTCTCCTGGTTTCTGGCACAACCGGCGACGCCAAATCAGCTCTCCGATCCTTAGTAGGTGATTTTTTTATTTGCTATTTTTAAACGACGGGAGTTTTTTTTTAAAAAAATAAACAAACAAACAGCAACGACAATGATTTCCTCCTGCTTAGAATCCTCTTAAAAAGATCTTGAGATCTCTTGTGAGAGAGAAAACTAATTGGATCCAGGCCACAAGTCTGCCTTTTTTTTTTTTTTCATTTGGGGGGAGGGAATAGGCGAGCTCCCTAATAGGAGACAGAAAAAATAACAAAGACAGGTTTATCCAAACAGAGAAATACAGTATACATTTTTCTCCACCGAGTAGAAATATTAGTCAGCTGAGAAAAAAAGGAGTTAGGCATGTTTTTTTTGCGTCCGGTGCCAAAAGGAGAGAGATGCATCTTAATTTAAGGCCGAAAGCAACTCCGCCTTTCAATGTGCAATATTATTTCTGCTGCGCCAGTTTGTGACTGAATCAATGGCTCTCAACCTCTGCCACCTGGGCTTGCTGGCCGGGGGACCCTGGGAATTGAAGTCCACCCCTCTTCAAATTGCCAAGCTGGCGAAGCATTGGCCTGGGTCCTCACCCACAGCAGGTGTCAAATATTTGGCTTAGCAGTCAGCAACTAAGGGGCTGCCCCAAAGAATAAGGGGTCAACCTATTCTCCAAAGCACCTGAAGGCAGGATAAGAAGCAATGGATGGAAACTCATCAAGGTGGTGAATTCAAGGGATGCTGTTGGTTGCCACAATATAAAAATATAAAATATCAAAAAGATGTTGAGACTCTGGAAAGAGTGCAGAGATGAGCAACAAAGATGTTTGGGGGACTGGAGCCTAAAACCTATAAAGAGCGGTTCCAGGAATTGGGTATGTTTAGTTTGATGAAAAGAAGGGCTAGGGGGTACAGGATAACAGTCTTCCAGTACCTAAGGGGGCTGCTGCAAAGAAGAGGGGGGGGGTCAACCTATTTCTCCAAAGCACCCGAAGGCAGGACAAGAAGCAATGGATGGAAACTGATCAAAGAGAGAAGCAACCTAGAACTAAGGAGGAATTTCCTAACAGTGAGAACAATTAACCAGTGGAACGACTTGCCTGGTGCTCCATCATTGGAGGTTTTTAAGAAGAGATTGAACAAGCAGTTGCCTGGAATGGTATAGCGTTTCCTGCTTGAGGAGAGGGTTGGACTAGAAGACCTCCAAGGTTCCCTTCCAACTCAGTTATTCTGTTACCCATAAAAGCACAGTTCACATCTGTCCACCTTTGGCGCACGGATGCTCCTTGCTGCTTCTCCCGATTGTCTCTGTGTTTTGCAAACAAAACAGGATTGGCATCTAGGAACGCCTCCATATTTCCTTTGACATACCAAGAGACTTAATACGGACACGGGCATCAGTCCAGCCAACTCTTAGGCTGGCTGACTGCAGCTTTCCAAGGTCTCTAGCCAAAAAAGCGGGGGGGGGGATTTTTCTCAGCCTGCAGAGGAGATAGGTGATCCAGTACAGATCCCCTGCCTTCTTCTCCAATGATAGATCAGCCCTGTCATTGGACCCTTGCTTTCAAGATATAGATAGTCCTTGATTTACAGCCATTTGTTTATTGACGGTTCAAAGTTACTCCAGCACTGAAGAGTGTGTTTTTCACACACATGA